AACCGAAGTCCTACAGTTGCATTAAAGGACAAAACCCCTCATGAATGCATTTTCGGTGAAAAGACAGATGTTTCTAATCTTAAAGTCTTTGGATGTATGTGCTATGTTCATATCCCAGACAGTAATCGTAGAAAATTAGACCAAAAGTCTTATGAAGCTATATTTGTTGGTTATCCTACTGGCACAAAAGGATACAAAGTTTATGATGTTAAAAGAAGAAAGTTCATGATAAGTCGAGATGTTCAATTCTTAGAGAAGAAATTTCATAATTTTGAGAACCCAAAGAATGACTTTGTGTTTGAGCAGAAAGAGAGAATTGAAGTTCCGGATGATGAAAAACAAACTGTTGAGTTATTTGATCTAGATAGAGTTGATGAACTTGATGATCAAACCTTCAACGAAGATCAGGATGAGTTCAGAGTGGATCCTGTTGTTGAAACAAACATTAACTTAAATGAAACCATGGAGCAGCCCGTTAATCCCGAGAACGACGAACCAGTGGGAGAAAGTGAAACCCTATCTACTTCGAAAACATACGAAGAGCGGTTTATGGAAAACGTAAAAAATTTAGGTACTGTAAGACAGCGTATGATTCCGAGTAAGTTCAGAGACAATGCATGTCCAGTAGTCGAGTCTTTAACATCTGAAGTTGATGATCCAGAAAGTGTCCAAAGAGCGCTGAATGGGAAGTATGCGAAGGAATGAAAAGACGCGATGATCTCAGAATATTCTTCATTACTAGAAAACGATACATGGGAATTGGTTCCTCCCTGTGATGATCAAAACGTAGTCGGATCGCGGTGGGTGCTAAAGGTAAAGCGGAAAGAAGACGGATCAATTGATCGTTTCAAAGCGAGAGTTGTAGCTCAAGGATACTCCCAAACAAAAGGAGCTGATTATGACGAAGTATTTTCCCCCGTGGCCAGACATACATCTTTACGTACATTACTGGCATTAGCCAACGAATATGATCTCGAAGTCCACCAAATGGATGTTCGAACTGCTTTTTTAAATGGCGACATTGATTGCGACATTTATATGCAACAACCGGAAGGTTTTGTTAATCCAGACAAACCAGATTATCTTTGTAAGCTGCAGAAAAGTATCTACGGTCTCAAACAGTCTGCACGCTGTTGGAATGACACGCTCGATGGATACTTAAAGTCGAGAGGATACAGAAAAAGTGGTGCAGATGGTTGCATTTATGTTAAATCGGTTAAAAAGGACGGTGGTCGAATAAGTTTTGTGATACTCGGAGTTTGCGTGGACGATATAATTCCAGTTTCCAACGATATCCAAATGGTGAATTCAGAGAAGAAAGCGCTCAGCGAAAGATTTAAGATGGATGACAGAGGTGAAGTTCATTACCTATTGGGAATGCTGATTAAACGAGATCGAGAAGCCAGAGTTACTACAATCAGTCAGCGTAATTACGTGGAACGAGTCCTAAGCAAATTCGGAATGGAATCATGTAAACCGGTTTCAACACCACTGGAACCTGGGACAAAGTTTTCAGAGTTGTCAAATGAGGATGAAAAATTTGACACACAAACATACCAGCAAGCGATTGGATGCCTAACCTATCTTTCAGTGATTTCAAGACCAGATATCTCAGCTGCAGTGGGAGCACTTTCACAATTTATGGCAAAACCTAGCAAAGATCATTGGATCGGGGTGAAACGTGTATTACGATATCTTAAAGGAACTTTAGATTATGGCCTGAAATACTCAGCAGATGAAAACCCTACACTAGTCGGTTATTCAGACTCTGACTGGGCAGGAGATATTAATACTCGTCGATCAACATCAGGTTATGTATTTCAAGTTGCTAATAGCACAGTTAGTTGGTCGAGCAAAAGGCAGAGGACAGTCGCGAAGAGTTCAACAGAAGCAGAATATATTGCCTTAAGTTTAGCCACGCAAGAAGCGATATGGTTACAAAGACTGTTATATGACGTTGGATTTAAAATCAGAAAACCGATAACAATCTTCGAAGACAACCAAGGAACAATAGAATTGGCGAAGAATGCCAAATATCATAATAGAACGAAACATATTGACATTTGCCATCATTTCGTTCGAGAACGTGTTCAGTCGAAGGAGATCAATGTAGTATATTGTCGAACAGATGATATGAAAGCAGACATACTAACAAAAGGATTAGCAAGATCAAGTTATGAAAAGTTAAGGGACTTGATTGGGATTACATCTGTTTAAACATTGTAATTTAATTGTTGAAGTTAAATTTATAAGTGAATGCACATTTTATCGTGAACTCATTAAGTGGGAGTGTTAAGAATAATAAGTTCCCGCCAAATTATATAACGCTAAATATGATTGGTTAAAGATTAATGAGATTCTCTTCTCTGATGTGTACATTCGGTCGGACATGTTTTAGAAAATCAATTCATATTATTAAGTCTATTAAAGTTATGTTTATCTTCAAATAAATAGTTATACAATCGAAAGTGAGCGAATATTTCAATATTATTAGCCAAAACATGAAAATTATTTGAGAGTATTAAACTTACAATTACAATGTTATCTATCTGAATCATAAAATTGTTAACTCAATATATAGAATTGATTATAATATTAGGTTATCACTTCAGTGCATATTTCTTGGTTGATAGCATGTAAATGGATTGACTTTAAATTAATATTTAACCCATTGGCATTGAGCTGGAATGTGCCCCAGTGCGCCCTACTTTTTTTCACCTGTCTAACGCCAGCGTCTTCACTCATGTCTAACCCTGCATATATGTGTGTGATATATTGTGCCTGTTTATGTGATAATGGCATGGCTGGACAGGAGGTTTTAATCCAGGATGGTGTGTTTAATATATAGACGGAATACACCCCGCCTCTCCGCCTGGCAGGGATGATAGAGTGCTTGTATAAGAATTTCTCGTCCTGGCAGATGCAATCCCGGCAACAAATAATGGGATCTTGCCTAGGCCAGAAAGAAGTAGAATAATTCACTTTACCGTAAACAGTCGATAGAGTTCATATTGCAAGCTAGATGAGATGGGGTGTTAATGGGATATTACACTAGGCCGTACATTGCATAAGCTGCATTGTGCCACAACTTTATTGTTTTACTCCATATAATGTCAGATGATTTTACCTATCAGTGCCATCACTCAACGGGTTACTGAAACAAGTAGCACTTATCTCACATACAACTGAGGTTAAAGCATAACCATATGAATCTTTTCTGGAATATGAGGCAATAGCATATTAAATCACAAATACCAACACCATCGCCGTTACATTTTATAACAATCTAATGGATTTTGCTGCAAAAATTCTTTCTCATGTTATAAACTCTATCCTACATAATAGAATGATTACAAATAAATTACTTATTTCCCTTCATGGGAAAATTTGAGTCATTATGGTCAATTTGGAGTCCGAGAAATCATGGTCCCACAGTCAAAATGTCAAATTTTAACCCATGAAGTTGCATCGCACCCTTTATTGTATTCCTGTCTAATGCCAGACAATTTTATTTGTGAGTGGGAGAGTAATGGTGGTTAATTGGTTAATGATGCCAACTAGTTATATCATTATGCTTTCAATAAGTAACACAGTTGTAATTTAACACTTGCCCGGGGCAAGTGAATATCATTGTCACAAAAAGCTGGGCATCTTCAAGTTTATGTTTTCATTGCCAGATAAAATTTTTATGCAGTGCATGTTGTACTTGTGCATGGATTCAAATTTTGTTTTTCTGTGGGCCACAGCTAGTCTGAAGCAGTATAACATAGCCATCTAGAGCAGTGGAAGAATGTGTCGACATGTTGTTCCCTTAATTTATAGCCCCTACCTGGGTACCCCAGTGGCCATTGTCTCATGGCAAGTGAATTTTATTCATGGCAACTAATTTTCATATCCAACTTGGCAAGTTGAACTTGCCCTGATGACAAATGGTCAAAAAAGTAAAGTTATACCACTGACTACTGAGTAAGGTATATATGAGCTACAGTATCATGGTTATAAAAACTCTGGAATAAGGTATGTGGATGCGGTTATTTTCAAAAAATTTACATTTATCACTCATCAATATGTCTGCAGGTTGTTGAAGAAGATCGGAGGAGCCTCAATCAATCCAAAGAAGCAGAAGAAAGTGCATACACAGCTGATTGACAAATTGGACCCACTTATTTACTATCATGGCATTTCAAAAGGAGTTATGAAGCCACCACATGAACAGTGATCTGGTAATTAAATGATATCATTTTGTTTTTTTATTAATTAGAGTACCGGTACCAACATTGGATTCATTAGCACCAGGGGTGGGAAAAGTATCGGACCACGGGACCATTGGTCCCAGAAAATTTTTTGAGTTCCCAGAAAATATTTTTCCAAGAAAGAAAAATTGTAATAATTCAAATAAAAAGAGAAATTCAGAGGAAAATTCATACCATGATCTCAGAAATGCAATTATAAGTGTAACCATCTTAATAGTGCGATAGTGTATAAATGTATTAGACTATAGAACGATGTACAAAATGTTGTATGGCAAATGCATTTTTAGTTGATCTGGGACAAACTTTTTGGGGGGAGCATGCATGATCTCCCTGATAGTGTCCCCTAAAAGTGCCCTAGCTTTTTTGGTATCTGTATTTACCCTTAGGATCAGACCCTTGATGCATGTCAGTTTTATGTTATAGTTTAAGATTCTTAGTGAAATATTATTTCCAGTGAAATATTTTTTCCTGTGAAATATAGCATGACATCCAGTTTGACAACTTGTTAGTGTCACACAATTACAGTGTCCAAATGTCCATTTACTTGACTATTTACAGAAAATGTTCAATGTTCTCTTGCGGTCCCAGAAAGTAAAATATTTTTTCCACCCCTGATTAGCACCGGCATTAGGTGTCGTTAATAGAAAATAATAAATGAAAATTGCATTTTGGTTTATGCTGTACCGGTAACTAATAAAAGATACGAAAAATCAAAATTGCATTTTTAGCTCTCAAAATATCACAATGCTTTTATTAAAAATGTACCGGTAACTTAATTAATATTATTTTTTATGTATGTAATTCTACAGAAAGTACTTCACCTAATGAAGAACATTTAATTCACTCTTCAAATCAAAAAGTCAACCTGCTAAGAGCAAACTGGACATCGTAAACTTTGTTGAGGTGAGGTTATAGTTTCATTTTATAAAATTCATTTAGTAAGGCCTGAATCAAATTTAGTGTACACTGTACATACACATCTTCTTAGTTTTGACAAAGGTTTTGAGCTTTCCTATAGACCTTATTCATAAATCGTGACGAGGCCTCGTATCCTAGGATACGGGAACAAAACGCGGGAAAACAAGCGAAAACTGCTTAACAAGCCAAATTCAGATGCTATTGTGTCGACTTTAGCGGCTTGTTTCTTGTTGCTTTTTGCGATTTATAACGATTTTTGTGTGTATATTAAGACTTTGTGCCTACAACGAAAGCGGTAAACGAGGATATTATAAAAGCGATAAGAGTTGAGATAAAGTTAATATGGGCTAACAAAAACTATCTGCCAGTGTCTCTTGTTCCATCCATCATAGTATTTCGCTCTGTCAGTCTGTCTATAACCCCAGGGTATCGCTTGTTCAGGGGTGGAAAAAGTATCGGACCATTGGTCCCAGAAATTTTTTTGAGTTCCCAGAAAATATTTCCCCAAGAAAGAAAAAATTGTAATAATTCAGATAAAAGGAGAAATTCAGAGGAAAATTAACACCATGACCTCAGAAATGCAATTATAAGTGCAACCATCTTAATAGTGCGATAGTTTTGCGATAGTGTATAACTGTATTAGACTATAGAATGATGTAACAATTGTTGTATGGCAAATGCATTTTTAGCCAATCTGCGACACTTGATTTCAAAATTTTCTGGGAGAGCATGGATCCACCTGATAGTGCCCCCCAGTGCCAATTTTGCATCTGTATTTACTTTAGGATCAGACCCTTGATGCATGTTATCTATATTAGCTTTATGTTATATTTTAAGATTCTCAGTGCACTGGAATATTTTTTTCTGTAAATATACATGTAGCATGACATCCAGTTTGACAACTTATTAGGTGTCACAGTTACATTGGCCGAGTGTCGATTTACTTGATCATTTGCAGAAAATTTTTCAATATAATGAACTTTTTGCGGTCCCAGAAAGTAAAATATTTTTTCCACCCCTGAGCTTGTTAGTGAAAACATAAGCTGTTAATTAATGAGGGTTGTGTAGTTGTTACCAAAACTATTTTTGTGGGGTTTTTTTCCTCAAAAGGAAGGAGACACAGACTTGACTACCTGGCTGCAAATGAGACCCAATGACATACTGTATCAGGGCTGATCATGACATGGAGCTATTGGCAACATTCGAGAATAGCGAAACTGTAAAAGCCATCTTTACTTCCTGGCGTTGTTCTACTGTACCTGCTCGACTTAGACTACCCATCCAGACTCAGCAGTCTGACATGGTAAAGGCTTTTCAAGAAATTGAACAATATTGCTACGTGTGAGAACTTTTACATTTATCTATCAGTAATTACTTTAATAACCTATTCATGTATAGCTGGTAAATATATTATTTTAAACAATTTCTTAATTGTTTTTATATTGTAAAACGTATGTATGATGTGTATGATGACAACAGCAAAAAATCACGCCAAGATTATTATTCTAGTTTCATATTGTCATTTAAGAAAAATATTCTTAAAAGCCATGCACACCGGATCGAACTAGAATAATTTTCTTAGCAGGATTTCAATTCAAGATAATTTTTCTAATTTTGTCCCATGGGTAAGTGAAAGTTTCTTATTAAGATTATTTTTCTTATTTCAAGAAAACGTTCTAGCAAAATTTTCTTATTACTAGAAAATAATTCTTGGGAAACTAAGAATTTTTTTCTAGAAATAAGAAAATTTTGCTAGAACGTTTTCTTGAAATAAGAAAAATAATCTTGATAAGAAAATTTTACTTACCCACGGGACAAAATTAGAAAAATTTTCTTACCAAGAATTTTGTTCTAACCAAGATTAATTTTCTTCTGTATTAATGGAGTAATGCTAAAATATTTTGAGATTTTTTCTGACAAAAGGATTATCACCATTCTAGTGCGAATCTGAAAGCCGTGTATTAATGCGAAAACTGCGAGAAATTTTAATGTGGAACAATAAAATCGGGGGTTGGAGTGGGGGTGGGGTGGGGTCGGTTAGTCACTCCGTCTATTATTCTACACATATAACGTCTATAATTCTACACATACCGTCTACCATCCCACACATAAGAAAAAAATGCACTTGTATCACACTAAGAGGACTAGCAGGAGACTTCCAATGCCCATCCAGATTTTTTAGTCCAGCACGAGTTGTCTTCTCAAGTCGCTTTTTCCTGCTGAATCAGAAGTTGTTTGAAGCGAGTGCGTTATATCGTTCTATGAGAGTTGTAGAAGAATGAATTTGCTGGAAAATATTTCAATGTAAACGTGTGATGCGTGAGAAGTATTTATCCGCTCAGCTGCGTTGTTGCTATTCGCTTCGGGTTACAAAAGCCGGTTCGCGTCAGCTACGTTTTGCGATTTTTCCTGACAAAACGACAAACGTTTTTAAGATCTAGTTCACTTTATACCATTCAATATAATGTGGTAATGAATTTATTTTAGATATTAGGGAGCTACAATGGGTATTTTGCTTCCCACATTGAAATATAATATTGCCGATCGCTTGCCACAATATGGCGCCGCATGAATTCACGTCTTGATCGTCTGTCTTTTGCGATTTTTCCTGCACGCACACAATGGTGAATCGCAATGAAAACCGCGTCAAATGAAGCACCCAATAATGTAGAATGAAAATCTTTACGGTATGGGCTGCTTTAAAACTGTTGCAGTGGTTTAGCGATTTGTTCAGATTTTCACTGTTTATGCGAATATGAAAGTGAGTGTGAAACTACGGGAAATTTCAATATGGAACAATAAAATCCGGGGGGTTAGTCATTCTATCATTCTGCACATAAAAGGATTTGAAACACTTTTCCCGCGAAAAAAAGACAGCCAAGCATTATAAAATTTTAAATAAGCTGGCATAGATCCACTATTGAGAAAAAATGTACTTATATCAGACTAAGCGAACAAGCAGGAGACTTCCAATGCCCATCCGGATTTTTTAGTCGAGCACGAGTTGTCTTTTGCGATTTTTCCTGCTGAAACTAGAAGTTGTTTGAAGCTAACGAGTGCGTTATATCATTCTATGATAGTTGTAGTAGAATGGTTTTGCTGGAAAATATTTCAATGGAAACGTGTAATGCGTGAGAAGGATTTATTCGCTCAGCTGCGTTGTTGTCATTCGCTTCGGGTTACAAAAGTCGGTTCGCGTCAGCTACGTTTTGCGATTTTTCCTGACAAAACGACAAACGTTTTCAGGATCTTGTTTACTTTATACCATTCAGTATAATGTAGTAGTGAATGAATTTCAGAGATTAGGGAGCTACAACGGGTATTTTGCTTTAGACAGAGAAATATAATATTGCCGATCACTTGCGGCAATATGGCGCAGCATGAATTCACGTCTTGATCGTCTATCTTTTGCGATTTTTCCTGACTTCACATTTTGCGCTAAAGCCTTCAAAATACATTTGTTCAATGTGTAATGTTCTGAAGAAGAATGAAATTCGTTAACAAGTTTATTGCGTAGAAAGAAACGGAGTAATTCGACATTTTATACGCCAGACACCTGATCGATTTTCATATTTGAATCTGAATGTGAATCTAAAACTGCGAATCTGAAACTGTAGAGCCGACCGTTCGAAGAAGTCAGAAGAAAATAAACCAAAACGTTCTGCATTTACTTGAACTTTCAAGCCGATACCCATCCATCAGTATTAAAGATGCGGTACAGTCTGTATGTAAACAAAGGCTTTGTTTACATTTCGGTATCCAAAATATTGAATTTTATTCGACAACTATTTATATTTTCATGATTCTAGAGTATAAGTTGTGAAGAGACAACAATCAAGCTTTGCAAGAACATAAAATGAAATAAAAACCTAAATAAACTGTTTGTAAATAAAAAGGGGGCTCCTTTGTGCACATGCGCAGATTGGACTGTACCGCATCTTTAACATTCAGTAAAATCCCGCGGTATAAAGGCTGGGTTGTAGTGGTTCTCTATACCGATAGGTACTTGGTGATAAATCAGGCTGAGTTTGTTCTTAGTAGTTCTTATACCGGAGGGGGGGGGGTACCACCCTCCCAATATTTTCATCAGTACTTTGAGGTAAATTTAGAGGTGATTTGAGTTGACTTTCAGGTAAATTATAAGAGCAATGATAGGCAAACGTTTATTTATTTATTTATTTATTTATTAAAAATTTTACCACATTGCAGCCAATAACTGAATTGCGTGGTTTACATGTATCACTAAGAAAGCACTACTCTACTTGTATTATTAATATACTTGGGGAAATACATATCCCACAAGATTGCAAAAAATAATGAATGTACAAAAGAAAATTGTTCGATTAATTTGTTTTAAATCTTATTCGGCTTATTCTGAACCATTATTTTTGAACTTGAAAATCTTGAATGTCTACAAAATTAATGATTATCTATGATTATCTATGTAGTATATTTATGTATCGATTCTTTTATTATCAAAATAATTTGCCGGATTTTTATTGTGATTATTTTAAACAAAATAGTGAATTACACAAGGAGGAGGCTAGATGTAAATGTTGCTGGCAAGAAACGATTTCGGCAGTATCAAAACAAAGTCAAGAGTAAGTTAAAATACTATTTTATACTTTAGTTTGCCTTTCATTGTCTCTCGAGTCTTGACGTTAAACGTTAGTGTGTCCACAGGAAATTGTTTCAGTTCTACGAATAAACATTAACTGAATTATTTCGTTTGTTAGATGATGAAATTGTTATGAGTGGTAGCAGAATAAAGAATAAGGATGAGCAAGATAAATGTAAATAAAAAAACAAAAAGAAGAAAGTTGGAAAGAAAAATCTGAAAGATGAGAAAATCTGTAAATTACAGATTTTCTCATCTTTCAATAAAAGAAAGTCCAAGAAATTTCATCGACGACTTGCTTCTTTGTTGTGCTGTTGTTTTACAACTGAGTCAAGAAAGAGACGATCAAGATAAGGAAACGAAAGAATCAGCAGTTGAAACACTTGAACTTTGATTTGTGTGGTAGTGAACATTGACTACATTTTTATAATGATATTGCGCAGTATCTCACTTAGAAAAGTCACAATTATTAACTATATTTGTTAAAAATTAATCATGAATACTGTAATGGGATTAATAAAGTTTTAGTTTTACATTTGCCTTTCTATTCAAGTCTATTCAAGTCTCACTTACGGTTTAATTAATAAATTCAGAATTTCAAAATTAGTAAATTCCCACTTTGAGCATTAACAAATTTACATGAATATTACGAGCCGCCTTGTAAATCAGATACATCTAGGTTTCCCATGCTTTATATATTATATATTGGTTGTAAACATTGTTGCGAATATTACGGTTGGTTGCAAACGGTCTGATTCCAAACACTTGCAACAAATCTTCGAGCAGAATCTTGCGTTAATGAATAATGAATAAGCTTAGCAGTAATGTATAAAGGATGAGCGGCCAATCTGTACCTTACTACCTAGCTAGGTGATTTGCAAACTTGAATTTTACCTGATTTTAGCTCATTTTATTGTTTCATCGTTATAACAATGCAGTGACAAAGGTTGGTGGCGTTCCTCAGATACTGTAGAACACTGTATAGTCGGTAAGCTGTCATGAAAACACACCAATATCTAGTGAATAAATTAGAACAGCGAAGGTAGACTTTAAAGTCAACCAAGATAACGCCCAAACACATGTAGCAACGTCTAATTACTCAAACAAAGATAAGTCAGTGTCCGATAATTTTCGTTTTATCGTTTAGGCCCTGCTCGCAGTTTATCGTACTGTAGGTCAAACTATCGTCATTAATCATATCTTCAAGTCAGTAGATGTTGAAAGAAGTTCCGGACTTTCCTTCTTGCAGTACAGTGCATTCATAATGTCAGATGATTTTCATTAAGAGTTACTGACCGTCAAAGCGATTACGCCATTTTCATCAAGAGTGACATTACGTTATTTTCATCAAAAGTCATATTCATTAAGAGTCGCATTCATTAAGAGTCGCATTACAACGCTATGTCATGTTATCAAGAATCGCCTGTCAAAGCAATTACAGTGAATCTCACGTTGTCAGGATCGCGTTTCATGTATTCTCTGCAAACTCTGGCTGCATCCTACAACAAATAAATGATCATTTTGTGTACCAATACGTGGAAAATTACGTGTACAGACCTGGAGGGATAACCCCAAAAGGACACGAAACTTGAGCTCGAGGCTAACAATTATACGAGTTTTATATCACGGCCATTGCATGGCAGGATCGATCCTAAACCATTGAATTGTCTCGTGTGCTTTCCAGCAGAGTGACAGGATTCCCAATATAATTTAGAGTACGGTGTATTTTGAAAGAAGCAGGTGGCCATTGAAAGTACCACTCTCCGGCCTATAGGGGGAATATCTAGAGGAAATAACTCGGGTTATGATTTTGAACCAGCAATTGTCTATCGAAAATCGCCAGATGACAAGTTCAAATCCCAAACTGGGGAAGTGTGTAACGTTTGAATTCAAGTAATCATCATACAAACCTCTAAGAAAGTTTCAGTTGATGATGGTCCGTGATTTATAGGAAATTTTTTCCTTCCATCTTAAGAAACATAAAAATATTTTTTCTTAGACTTTTCTGCAGAACATTTCTTACACGGCGGCGCGAAGATGTGACTTTTATCTTTGAGTGGTGAAAACAATATTTTACGAACGAGCACAGCGAGTGAGTAAAATATTGTTTTTAATACGAGAAGATAAAAGTCATATCTTCAAGCCACCGTGTAATGTTGTTTATTATATAGTCCCAAGCAAAAAATTGTGAAATTTCACGCTCAAAAGCAAATTGGAAAAAGTGACGTGATCGATATCTTCACTACTGAAGATATGGAAAATATCTCACTGTGTATTTCTCAGTATCTCACTCTCCACTATATAATAAGTATGGATATGTTATCGGTATTATTCTTGAAAAAGATTCAGAAGTATGAAATGACTAAAACAACCGAATATCTTTTAAAATGTTTTTAGACAGTTCTTACGTACTACTTTTCCTCGTGTAGCAACAACATTCATTTTAAAATTATAATTAACTTACCTAATTCGTATAAATGTCCATCTTTTTCAACAAGCGCAACAAAATGAAGATTAACATGATCTTCCCGTGATGGAGCCTCATGGATAAAAAAAGTCGAATAATGTAATATAAGTACATATTATTTCTTTATTAGCGTAAACGTTGGTTTCTAATTTATTCTTTACGATTTAGCTAGTTGGTCTTGATAATACTTAACATGGAGATGCACTTCAACATGCACCGACAACTTGTGTGAAAACTTTAACATGCATATAGTTAGCATTTACAGAGAAGCAAACACTTTGCCAAATTGTGGAGGTAGGATATAATGCCCCGCGCGGTCAAACGAGAAGAGTTGCACGAGAGTTGACTGGATATGACCGCGCACGTAAAACTCTCATCAACTCTCATCAAAATGTGAGCCAGTTCAAATTCGATGAGAGTTGGCGGTGAAGCGCAAGCGAGAGTTGTAACTTTCATCAACTCTCATTCTCGTTTGACAGAGGCTTAAAACTCTTTTGTTGCTCAACATCCCAGTATTCACTTCCTTCCAAAGTCCAGCATTCATTTTTCTTGGAAATCTCAGTGTTCATTTCAGTGCAACTTTGCAAAACGCCAGGCTTTAGGGTTGCAAAAACCATTGTTACAGCTTTGGTATAACGGTACTACTAATCAGCTATTATTCATAGATTCAGTTTAGAAATTACTGGGGGCTTGCGTTGCCACCTCCCCCCCCCCCAATGGTTATAAAGTGGGTCTACAAACCTCTGTCTGTCCTTCCTGTGCGAAGTTATCGTGAGCTTCTATCATTGACTAAGGAAAGAAAATTAAATCATCATTGTCAAATGTTTCATAGTTAAGAGATGATTGCGACAGAAGAAAAGCGCAATATCTAACGATACTAAAGCCCCGCACAGTACACAGTTTCGTTTCTCGTGTGTACGGTCAACACGTTTTTCTTGACAAATTTTCCTTGACAAATTTTGTCGTTCGTGTGCACGGAATGTTGTTAAACATTTATCTCACGTCAAGGCCGCTTTGCTCACGAGTAGCTTTGCTCACGAGTAGCTTTGCTCACGAGTAGCTTTGCTCACGAGTAGCTTTGCTCACGAGTAGCTTTGGAACAAGGCTCCTTGGCAAGGAAAAATTGTCATTTTTTTTTTGTTCTAAAGCCAATATCTCAATCACAAACGCGCGGCTCTATATACCCAAGATGACGTAGTTTCCAGAAGCACTATATGACCAAGAACATCGTGTTTTTTGAGTATTTTATTAACAAGTATAAATCAGATACCTCATCTGTCTCTAACTTCACAGCCTTTTCGTCTGGTGTGAGAGTCTCTGTTGATTCAATAAATGATTTCAAAAACCCTTCGTCTAAAAGAAATATTTTATTTTGAGTATGATTAATTTTAGAGTTACGCAATGACTATACAGTTTTTACATATACAATCATATTTTTCATTTCATTTTAATAAAACACCATGGCGCCAAAAGGCGAATTGCGATATTCTTACATTATAAATATAATTACAATAAATTATTTAAAATTTAGATGTTATTACACCATATTCCAAGAAAAGCTAACGTTAAGTCCTGTTAGTTTATAAAATTATTAAAACACATGCTAGGACACATGCAAGTACATAAGGCCAAGTAAAAAAAATAGTAGCATCCTTTTTCCCTGCTGCATGGATTTTTCTTTTTTCCCTTTTTTTTTATATTCGAGCCTTTCAAAGAATTTTCACTTACATATTTCGGGCATTTTGCTCCTTTCGGCATAGTTCAGTTGCCGTTCGAAACTTTTCGTCAACTCTCACTTGCTGTTCGGTACTTCGCGCCGCTGTTCGTGCATATTGTTATTTTGGCGCCATATTGCATTAGTAGCTGTTTGTCTATTTTATTATATATTTATGTTTTATGAGTAAACTTCAATATTTGCGTGGGTTTATAGGTTATTTGGTAAACTTTAAGAGCGATATTTGAAGGTTTAACAAAAAAAGCGCCATCTTTCTCCTTTTTTTTTCAAAATTCGGACGAAAAACTACTATTTTTTTTACTTGGCCTAATGGTTTAGATGAAGGTTTAGATGGAAAATTTAAACAAAAAAACATATTCCATAGACCTGACCGGAAGCAGGCAGAAAGGAACTATCATTTGTAGGTTACAAATCCATGTACACTAGATTAGAGTGATGCCAGTGTTAGGTCAGCCTCGTACCCAGGCGCAAATAACGTACTAAAATAGCAACATTACAGTTTTCTATATAGATCAGTGGCTAAGGTGAGCGAGCGCGCGACCCCGTCCTGTCCTCCCCAAGCACCCCCGCGCGCTCGCTCATCTATATAAAAACACTGTAGTGTTGCTATTTTTAGTACGTTATTTGCGCCTGGGTACGAGGCTGGTGTTAGGTATAGTTAGGTAAGGGTATGAAATTCGCTCGAAACGTCGAAGTTCTGCTTGTATTTTTCAGGTAGTAGTATATCTCTCCCAATCCGCAGTTGTGTCATTATCGTCTCTATAGCCACACAGGCACAGACCGTTGCAGGTAGTTAGAGCAAAAACAGAGACAGTTTAATTTTCTGTTGCACTATAAAAACGTGTAATACTTTTCTTACCAATATTAATTTGTTTTCTGTTGTTAGCTACACAGTGGATCAATGCTACAGTACCACAAGCATTACCAACAGTTTGTTTCGTATAATATAAATTGGAACTAACATCCTAAAGTAGAAAACAAATTATCACTCAAATCTGTTGTTCAAAGATCAATGAACTATATTTAATCCTTGCATGGTTGAAATAGTATCCTGTTTTGTTATTGTGTTTTTGTGCCATCAGTTGATAAAATCCCCAATCAGTTGATCTAGACAATACGAAGACTGTTAACGGTCTTTTAAAGAGAATGGTGAAAGGCAAATTCTAAAAAACCTAGACCAAACTCAGTCACAAAGATCAAATTCAGGGAAATTGTTATTTGATGAATAATTTCAAAAAACCTACAGTCAAACGGTTAGAATGACTTCTTTTATTGGGCCCATATGTCACTTCAATGTTCAATGAACTAGACAGAGAAACGTGCATTAAAAACGCGTGTTTGTCGTTATACCACGGTATGGGCAGGAAAACAAACCTGTCCTTCTTTTTCAATACGTTGTTCCTCCTCTTCTCTGTAACAGTAATACTATAGAAAATAAAAACGATGTCACTGATATAGAATTACATACAATGACATTTTTAAGCTATTAAATTATCACACTCTGCACGGCTTCGTCGTTGATACTTGTTAAGCATGTAACACAACTATCAGTTGCTGTAATTTTCATTCCTCTAAATATTGATTGCTTACAATTAAAAATTTTGCTAAAAGAATAAACCATCATGTGATAAAAAAGAACATCGTTACTACTAAATTAATGAGCAAATCATTAAATAGCTTGACGAAATTATTGGGAATGGAGGTCGCCCTAATTGTATCCACACATGCATACAACACCAAAATTGTGTAACTGATTTAGTGTAAATGTTGACAACATTATTGTGTTAGTAAACACCAAATACTAGGGATGTGCCGGATCCGGATACCAGTATCTGATATCCGGCAAAATATAGGCACTATCCGGTAAAAATTTGCCTGATATTTACTAGGTAGTACTGGAATTTTTATCACAACCACAAAACCGTCTCAAGATATTGAGAGATATAAACAACTAGTCTACCAGAAATCGTCATGCTGTATATTGTCTGACGATTATTGTGTCACATACTAAACAAGAAATGAACTATTTCCTGACAAAAAGTTAATGACGTATTGTCCAAGTACCACCATCAGTATTCGGTGATTATCCGTTAGACTGCTATCCGGTACCATCCTGTAACAGGCCAAGTAGTATGGCCCTACCAAACACGCTATTCAATCCTGATATTTACACCCAATAAGTCGTATACCTACTGGGTGTGAATTTGGTATTCATTAAGACACTAACCACAAAAATGGTCTTAACATCTTACTAGTATAATCAGTGTCTATATACAGAGCTGCAATGAACAATTTTGGTGTTGTAGCAATATTCTGAAATTTAGAGGTCCCCTCGTCCTACTCCCCCGCTGGTCATAATTGCTATCCACCTTGTGAAAGGATTTTTACCATTTGTTGTCTGAAGCCCTGTTAACAAAAAGTTTATTATTTATGAAATACAAGAGATTATTTGCAAAATTACCTTTTCTGAGCAGGGAAATAGTAGAATTAGCGCACAAGCAGGTTGTGGAATCATACATAACAGTTCTGGATCAAGTGACAGGACATCAACAAACTGCCACTTTTTTGACATACCAATTGACCATAAATACTAATTAAATAACATTAGGAATCAGACATTTTTACATTTAGAAAAGAGAGGTTTTACAATTCCAAACATTTGCAAAAATTATGGTTTTTGGATGTTGTAGGAAGGTTGTCACTCACAACTTGTCAACAAGTTGTTGAATTGCAGGACGATAACAAGTTGTTAGAACAACTTGTAACAAGTGTGTTGAGCCCAACAACCTTGTAGCAAGTTGTCAACAAGCCGTTGACAACTTGTCAACAAGCTGGGAACAAGCAGTGCGAAAACATCCTGTTGACAAGTTGTTGAAACAAGTTGTTGCAGGTTTGTTACAACTTGTGCGTTCTTACGCGTGTACAACACGTGACTTGCACATGCTGGCTTTGATGAGAGAAGTCAAGACGTGTATACCACTGAGCTATAATATATCTGGAGGAGGTGCTCCTATCTCTCTTCAGTCAAACAAGTGTCGCCAAAAACATGGCGGATTTTCACGTTTGCTGACGCCAGAATGACGCCACTGGTCCTAAATCCTCGTGGTAATTACCACTGAGCAAGGCTCATTTTGAGCCCGCCACCACTTTGACATCCCCCTGATTTTCGCAAAAATATTTTAGCTTTTTGTTTTGGAGTTTGCCTTGGTGTTCGCCTTCTCTTCGACATTTTAACATTTGTTTCGAGTTGCACAAGTGGCAAGAATCATACTGGCTAGTGAAAGACAGGGAACGAATATTCAAACCTCACGGAAATTTTGGAAAAACGTTATTTGTAAGTAACGGTAAAAATATACTGTTTATTTGTTCAATATTAATTTGTGCTAGAGTAGCTAGCCGCTAGGTCAAAACAAAGCGAAATAAACAGTCTATTTGTACTGTGTAGTGGACAATTTTAGCAACTGGTGTATGCAATTAGGTTGCCCAAACTATATTAATACGAGAAACAGTCTTCCTCGAAAGAAAATGGTTGAAATTTCAGATTTTAGTTTCATTTGTTATTTCAAATAATTTTTACGATATAAAATGCCAGTTGACCACCATCTGCTTCATGATACTACTTAGTAAAATTAAAGTGCTTTCTATTTATATTAGTATAGCTATAGAGGAAGACCTTTTTATTAAAGCCAGAACTATCATGGCTTTGAATGTTTTCAATCCATGTACTAATAATACTGGCCACTGATGGCAATCAGGCAATGAAATTATGTGTAGAATTATCAAGATCCAAAAGTTGGCAGTTCAATTCTACCAACTTCTGTTGAAGCTAGTTTCATTTTCTCTAGAAATTGCATGAATAAAATCTATTTCATAATTAACCCATTGAGCCGCAATGCGTCCTACTTATTCTTTTTTACTTGTCTAAAGCCAGACAATTTTACTTGTCAATGGGGAAGCTCTGCCAGCTCATTGGGTTAACCAAAAAAATCTGACTGTAATCTCTAGTTAACCCATTGAGCCGCAATGTGCCCAACTTACTTTTTTTACTTGTTTAAAGCCAGACAATATTACTCGTCAATTGGGAAGCGCTGCAACTTAATGGGTTAAGAAAATGAAACATTCTTGAGTGATATTTGACTGTTGGTAATTCATGCATTTTTGGAGGAAAATATTTTACACAGGGGTTATTCGCCTGACACCGAACCCCAATATTTTCCTCATTCTTTGAACATGCTAAAACTGAACTATTTTCCTCATTCTTTGAACATGCTAAAATGATACAAAATAAATTTCAGTTGAATTCAATCATGTCCTCGGGCCCAAGTTGTCAAGACTATCACGGACCTTAACTGTTGGTAGCATATATCTGCTTAAGCCCTGGGTTCAAATGAGTGGAATTTCAAGAGCATTCTGACTGGCTTTGTGCAAACAGGTGGCCTTACCGGTTAGGATGAGCAGGGACGCCGGAACTGAGGGGGCAGCTGCCCCCCTTGCCTTTTGCTAGGGGGGGGCAGGGGTGGCAGAAGTGCCCTTTTAGTTGTAAAATAATACGTGATAAATCACATTTCCAACGATGCTTTGTGTAGGAAAATCACGAGATTCAGGTAATTTATAGTTTATATTTATAAAAAATTTGGGAAATTTTTGGAATTTAGAAAAATATTTTGAAGAAATGGCGAAAATTTAAGATATCCGGAAAAATTTTTGGGTTCACGGAAAATTTTTGTATGTCCGGAAAAAATTTTTGACCCCTAAAATGGTACACTGACCGAAATTTTTTTGGCGACGGGGGGGGGGGAGGTCGCCAGTGAAAAAAACATTTTCAGTAAAGGTGCCCTTGGTGTGCGTCCGCCCCCCTTTGCCCTATTATCGTTCCGGCGTCCCTGAGGATGAGGGCCAGTTAAGGTTATGGTTGGGTGCAGGCAAGGTTCATGTAAACTTATTGTTAGCAAGAGTGTTATGTGTACATAATCATGTGTCATATGTTGGATTAATGGCATTTAAACACTGGGATCCAGTGTCAAACAATAACCACAACAATTATTACATAAAGTATTTGGTTGTTTTAGTGTAATATTAATTTCTCACATAAATTTTTTTTCAGAAATAAAGCACCATTGAGCAACTTGTTGGGAAAGAGGAGTCACAAACTGTTGATGAATATATTTAATTAACTACATCCACATAAAATACAATTTTATTAACAGTATATTGATTTATGGGTTATTAGATTACATTATTTTCATATTAATTAAAAATAAAATTAAAAAATTAAATGACAAAATCAGTGTGAAAATATTGCAATAATCAATTAAAATGTCAAACCAGCCAATTGTTTCAATTATGCATTTGTGAGTGTAACCTAACCCCCCCCCCCCTTGAGAGAACCCTATTATCCCTTTTGATAAGTGGCGATGCACCATATAATTTTCCTGTCAAATGCCAGACAAATATACTTGTCAATGCAAGGGGAGAGCTCTGGCACTCTATGGGCTGACCAGTATATATGCAAGTTGCAATGCAACCCAATGCACCCTACTTTATTATCTAATAGCAGACAATTTTATTTGTGAAGGGGAGAGTGCTTAATGAGTTAACCCTTCAATTAAGTGGCATGCACTCTGATGCACCCTACTTTAGTATTTCACTCTGTCTAATACCAGATGATTTTACTTATCAAGTGGAGAGTGCTGCCACTCAATGGGTTAAGTGGAATATTATACTAATTGCTTCAAACAAAGGTGATTCCCCTTTGTGGCATAACATTTAACCAGCTAGGGCATTCTTCTTCATTCTTCAAGTTTTCTACACATCTCAGGATTTTTCTTGGCATCTGGAAAAGTGTAATAGAATACACCCAATCAGTCACATACTATATTATCTATATAATTTGGTCTACATGCTACTGAACAATATTATTTTTTTCCTTTCAAATATTAAAATATGTCATTTCAGACATATAGGCATCCCTTCCCACCCATCGACTTCTATCTATTTCTATGTACTATCCATAAATTCATATTCATCAAGAAAAATTCAATCATGTCTATTTGTGCTGGCCTTTTTATATATGAACTATGAACTTTATTTGTACAACTATCTATTGGGCCTCCTATGTTAGCCATGAAAAAAGATTAAATAAAGTGTCTACTAAAATCAAACTCAAAATTGTAGTGTGAGCCTTGCAAGCTTTTATTCAACACTTACTCCTACAGAGACACTTGTTAGGAACAGTTTTGATCTTTTTTGTGCCCTTAGAACCATGCATATATTGGGCCTCCTATGACAATACATTCAAACCCTAGGATAAGACTACAAGTTGGGACTATTGACACCATTTGGCATTTGTGACTTGACACTTATCCATCATTTTAAAGCATTTCTGTTACAATACTGCGAGCAATACTGCATGTGAAAATTGATGTTGGATCTTTGGGTTAGGGCTCCAGAGGAAAACAGAAACTATAACCTGCCCAAATGGCAAAATAAAACACAAAGAAAAGTGATAAAAGGCAGAAAAATACCGGCAATTGATAAAACTAGAATAGTGAAGCGAATAGTGCGAATAGTCGACGAATAGTACGAATAGTCCGCGAATAGTCGACGAATAGTGCGAATAGTCCGCGAATAGTCGACGAATAGTGCGAATAGTCCGCGAATAGTCGACGAATAGTGCGAATAGTCCGCGAATAGTCGACGAATAGTGCGAATAGTCCGCGAATAGTCGACGAATAGTACGAATAGTCCGCGAATAGTCGACGAATAGTACGAATAGTCCACGAATAGGCGACGAATAGTACGAATAGTGCAATAGAGACTTTGCAAGGCTTTGCAGCAGTGCTGTAGAACTACATTTACCGGGGGGGGGCTCTGTTGACAAACATGAAATCGTGAAAACATTCGTCGACGTACGTCAATGACGTCATACGTCTAGTGATTGTCATCAGTGGCGCCGTGGCCGGGGGGAGCAGGGGGGGGGGGCATGGCCCTCCCCTATTGTTGACACCCGTCGTAAAATTGCCAATGCTGCCGGAAATTGCCGGAAAATTGTCAAGACTGTCGGAAATTGTCAAAGTTGTCGACGGGGGGGGTGAAGATTTAAAATGTTGTCGTCTGGAAAACTTTTTGGTTTGTCGGAAAAATTTTTCGGTTTGTCGGAAAAGTACTGCCCTTGCCCCCCCCCCCAAAAAAAAAGAAACATGGGTTCCACGGCGCCACTGATTGTCATTCTACTTTCTGTTAAATATTTGTTAAAACTCAGTGTCCCGTAATTTTTACCGATTACGTATGACGTCATTGACATCAACGAATGTTTTCACGATTTCATGTTTGTCAATAGAGCCCCACCCCCCGCTTCGGTAAATTTAGTTCTACAGCACGGTGGAAAGCCTTGCAAAGTCTCTATTGCACTATTCGTCGACTATTCGTACTATTCGTCGACTATTCGCGGACTATTCGTCGACTATTCGCGGACTATTCGCACTATTCGTCGACTATTCGCGGACTATTCGCACTATTCGTCGACTATTCGCACTATTCGCTTCACTATTCTAGTTTTATCAATTGCCGAAAAATACCAGCTGCTGTACAGCGTCGTTTTTCGTAAATTTCGTATCCAATTTTTTCTTTTAATTAAAAAACGGTATTTAGTACAAATGAAGCACAGAAAAAGAGTTTAATACATCTTACCGGTAAAAAGAAGTGTTTCTTCTTGATATTAAAGAATTGTGGCATTATGAAGCCATGCAAAAACTCGGCATTTTTTCTTGATGTTTTTTACATAAACTTTCAGCAGAGTTTGTGCAAAAACCAGGGGGGTGAAATCGTCGTCTGAAGCTGAGGATCGCGGTTGGTCAGTGGTAATTACCACGAGGATTTAGGACCAGTGGCGTCATTCTGGCGTCAGCAAACGTGAAAATTCGCCATGGCCATGTTTTTGGCGACACTCTTTGATGCCGAGCACTTCCTCCAGATATATTATAGCTCAGTGGAGTTCACTCGGTGAAAACACTGAGCTATAATATATCTGGAGGAAGTGCTCGGCATCAAAGAGTGTCGCCAAAAACATGGCGGATTTTCACGTTTGCTGACGCCAGAATGACGCCACTGGTCCTAAATCCTCGTGGTAA